ATTTGGAAAAAAAAAATTCAAGGAGGGTCGGGATGGGGGGTGGGTGGGGGCGGGGTAGTGAACAAAAGTGGAACACGAATGAAATTGGGAATCTCAAAGATCGTTTTGAAAAGAGGAAGCTTTGAGTAGATTTTTTCCTTATCTTTTGGAGATGATGTAAGGGATGAAAGAAGGGGAGGGGGGAAAGGTGAGGGGAGGATAGAGGGGAGGTAGAGAGAAGAACTGGATTGAAGAGAGAGAGAGAGAGAGAGAGAGAGAGAGAGAGAGAGAGGACTACTAGGTGAGGGAAAATGGCGACCGGGGAAAAGGAAATCTGACACCAAATCGAAGGAGACGCCATCGCGAAGCACGGCGCCGCCCCTACCATCATCGAATCTTTCCCCCCCTGCCCCTCCTTCCCTTCCCCTTCTCACTTCCTCCCCGAAGACGTCGTGTGTGTCATCCCTCTTTTGCCACCTCTTGGATGAGGTGACTTGGCCAAACAAATTCCCATAAACTTTATTCTAGTTTTTCTTATTTCTCTTTTTAGTCTAGCAATTTTAGTTTATTCAAATCTTTTGAGTGTATTTGAGAAAAATATTGAAAAAAAAAACAAGAAAAATAATATAATTTAATATTTATAATAAAATCAAATTATGGATATGATATTTCATCTCTTAATAATGATTATGATGATGATTATGATGATTTATGTATAACGTTATGATTACAAATGTACAAAGGTGTCCATGTTTGGATTGGTGTGTGTGTGTGTGTTTTCTTTTTTATTGTTTTTTTTTTTTTTTTTAAATTATGTTTTGTTTAAAGGATATATTTGAAGTTATCAGACACGATAACGGGTGATCGTTTATTACTTCGTATCAAGTTTCTGAACGATCATCGTCCTAAGTCTTGTTGTTGTGTTACATTATCGTTGATAAGAGAACCTGGGGTTACATGCAAGTAGGTTTTAAACAGTCAATCATGTGTTTCTATCGTAATAATTCTATTGTCGCTAAGTTGACGATACGTTTTCTCTTTTTTTTTTATTTTGCTTTCAGGGTGGCTGACATTAATCCGATAACATAATCATTTACTTTTGACACCATAGATCTGATCTGATTTTGATCTATCGTTAGTTATAATCGTATCTCAATCATTTTTAATCCATTCAAATTGTTTACCTGTAATTGTCATTTGTAACGCAATAAATAAATAAATAAATGTTTTTAATGTACGTAAAAACGAGTAATTTTTTCGATTCAATTTTTTCGTTTTGTTTTTTTTTTGTTTTTTTTTTTTTTTATCCAAATCTGTCAAAGTAGTTTGAGGTTTTTGACGTAAGAATAAAATTAAAAAAAAAAAACAAAAAAAAAAATGGGTAAAAGGGTGTTCTTTACGTGTCTACCTGTAAATTGTCATTTGTAACGTAATATCAAATTTGTCTCGTCAAAATTCAAATCTGTCAGAGTAGTTTTAGATTTTTGCGTAAGAATAATAAAATGAATAAAACAGGACACTTGGGTCTACTTTACGGTCCAACAGTTGCACTTTGGTTAATACATCCTGTTAGCAATTAGAGGAAAAGGCGGGGTCATGTTCAAAGGATTGTTAAAGGCGTGACGAACATCGGTGCCAAGATTAGGCCAACCGCGGAAAGACATCTTCGTTCGTCAGCAACCAAAATGCGTATCGGCTCTCATTGATCTACTTTACTCTCTTTTGGCTCGACAACTTCTACTTCTTCTTCCTCATCCTCCTCCTCCTCCTCCTCCTCCTCCTCCTCCACCATTACCTCCTTAAAATTCCACCTCCTTTCTTAAATGTTATTCGAAATATAATTTGGATAACGACCTATGTCAAGTTGTTGTTTTTTTTTTTATTATTATTTCAATCAACTGATGCAATTGTACGTTGTTGTTTCGATAGAAATTAATTGAAATTAAAATATATATTTTTTAAAACGAAATATAAATTAATCATCCCTAAGGGATTGAAATAATATCAAAATCAACCTATGTCAAGGTTTTAATTTTAATAGAAATTGATTGAAACAAAAATATAGTTTTTAAAACAAAAGGTACTTAGGTATTAACGCCATCGCCGCAAAATACCGCTAATGCGCCAATTTACAGCTAACTTAAATTGTTGCGACAAATAATAGAATAAAAAAGGTTATTTCAAATCAAAACACTTTCAAAATTCCAAATATGTTATTTATAAAAAATAGTTATATATAATAGGATTTCGGTAGAAAATGGGCCGATATAGAATTTAACATAGATTCAAAACAGTCTTTATTTTCTTTCACCTGATGCTGTCGTATTTTCGTAGCACTAAAAAATGACACAACCCTGACGAAACCCTGATGCATCTCTGACGAAACCTTGACGAAACCCTGACGAAATCCTGACGAAACCCTGACGCAAAACTGAAGCAACCCTGACGGTTGCTGTGTGCAAACAACAAGGTTGTTGTGTACAAACAACAAAATTGCTCTTTATTGGCACATTAGCGTAAGTACCAAACAAAATATAAACTAATCACCCCAAAATTGAAAGAATATCAACCTATGTCAAGGTTTTAATTTTAACAAAAATCTATTGTAACAAAAATATATTTTTTTAAAACAAAATATAAACTAATCACCCTAAGATTGAAATAATATAAAAACAAACCTATGTCAAAATTTCATTTTGTTCGAAATACTTGACACAACTCTTTATTATTTTTTGTTTTTAAATAATATAAAAATCAATCAATGTCAAAATTTAATCTTGTTCAAAATACTTGACACAACTTTCTTTCTTTTTTTTTCTATACTCTCCCAGTAATTCGATTAAACACCCGGTGATATTTTAAACAAATAAATTCGACTTCCAAAAGAAAAAAAGGGGGGGGGGTAAAAAACAGAAAAGGACAGATAATCATAAGGTTGAAAAATCAACGTAATTATAAAGCATAGCATAGGGAATAACGAAGAGTGTCAAATTCGTTACCGATAACACAGTTTGCAATGAAAACGATGATTGGGGGAGGAACATTATTGGGAATATGTTGGTACGAGTTGGGGACCCGGGTATATTTTGTGATCTCGTTTTAAATGTTTCAAGATAATTACAATAATAAATCAATGTTAGTCGTTTAATTCATTTGATCGGTGAATGATAAAACGTATTCGATTGAAATGAAACACGATATATATATATATATATATATAACATAACATAACTTAACTGGTGATATACAAGGGGGCTGATATTATATTTTTCCATGAACGAACGATAAAAAAAAAAAAAGAAAAAAATAACAAATAAATTTCCATAATTCTTATCTGTCGTTTAGAAAATGTAAAAGAACAAAAAAAAAATCTAACGGAAAGTAATCGTTAAACGATTGTTTTGAAAATGTCCGATTAAACGGACAGAATGGTACCGATAGACGGAACGGAACGTTGAGTAAAAACACAGGCATAGGATGACGAAGTGACGCGTTTCCGGTGTTTGTTGATGACCATCATATTTTTGCATTATCAAACATTGTAACGTTGTTCGCATTAGCATTAGCAACCTTTTTTTTTTTTTTTTTATTTCACGACATCACACGATTTTTCATGCTAAGAAATAAAGAAACGTGTTTATACTGTTTTTTTATTTTTCTGAAACACATTACATATAATAAGATGATGATTATATATAAAAATAAATGAGATTTATCTCGTATTGAAAAGATGATGACGATAAGATGAAGAAAATGATTTTAATCAATTGAAATGCCTAGACATTTGTGAAAAATTCTTAAACGTTTTCTAGAAAGGTATGTAAGTACAATTGGAGGATTAAAGGTGTTAGAGAGAAAGAGAGAGAGAGAGAGAGAGAGAGATAGTGAAAGAGTGAAAGAGTGAAAGAATGAATGAGTGAGATGAAAAGGGAAAAGGATAACTGCAGGTAGATGGGGTGAACGTTTGAACGGGGGTAAAGAGTCTTGGACCGCCCCTAGTTGCGACCAATCGTAAAGCACGAGGGAGGTAGCGTCGACCAATGAGAGACTACTTGCTCGTTTGGAGTCGAGCCATTCTGATGTTCGTATTCTATAGGTGAGTGTATGTTTGAAAAAAAAAAAAAGGAAGAAGAAGAGAAAAAAAAATCACCAGAGAACAGAGAGAAGGAAAGGGAAGAAGAAAGAGAGAGAGAGAGAGAGAGAGAGTAAACCGAACCATCGTTACCCGCCACCACCACCATGACCACCACCACCACCACTACTACCACCACCACTATTGGGACTACCATCACCACCATCATCATCAACGAGAGTTGTTAGTTCCTCCTAGCTATACTCAACATTGGCATCTCACAAGCAAGGCAAATAGTGGAGCGCGAAGTTGGCTTTTGAGTAAACTTGGTGACTTGGTCACTCAGTGAGTGGTGTCTTCTACGACGGTGGTCAAACAGGAGTCCTTATAATTGAGACTAAACTTAATTACCTATCAAGAAGAATCTTTATCTGACGGAATCCCCCACCAACATCAACACCCCTACACCCCGCCCCCCAAAAGCGTGGTGTGTGTCGTCGTGTTCCTCAAGATTCTCTACCGCACGGTTTCGCGTTTAAGTCTTTTTTGTTTGTTTTGTTTTGTTTTTTTTGTAGTTTTCTTTTTTTTTGTTTGTTTTACATTTTACAAAATAGACAAAGAAAACCAAAATGTGATCGAACAGGTGGAATTATTCTAAATCATCTTCATGATTCATTCGATTATCATTGTTAGAGAGAGTGTGATCTTTTATTAAGTGATTGATTTGTTTCTGTTAAACCTTTATGATACTTTGATCATCATCTTTTTCGAAGAATCTACATTAATGAAATTTAATTGAACAAAACAACAACAACAAACAAAGAAAAGTGTTCACGTACGTGCAGTTTGTACGTACCGTGAATAAGTGAGTGTGTGAATGTGGTTATATATAAAAGTGTCAGTGGATGCATATAAGGATGTTGAATGAAAACGTTGAAGGTTTCTAAGAATGTCTGATAGTTCGGATCAGCTGTCACCACCGACTAGCAGCGATTGTAATAGTCAAATGGGTAGTGGTGTTCATAGGAACACCGTTACCGGACAATACATCAATTCATCGTTGTCGGCCCTTAGTTTGGGCCATCATCCACAAGCACAAAATTTAACGCCCACGTCGTCTGACGGTAGCCCACAATATCCCCAAGAATTGTCCACCTGCAATAGTACAACGAATGTATCTACTATTGGAAATATCGGTGGATTATCAGTGGGTACTACTACGATCACCAATTTTACACCCGAACAGATTTCCTGTATGTGCGAAGCCCTGTCGCAGAGCCAGGACATCGACAAATTAGCTAGGTGAAACAAATAGATTTCTTTTTTTTTTCTTTTTTTCTTTTTTCTGGTTTATTTATTTAAGCGACTAATTAATTCGATTAATTAATTTTTCTAAATCAATTTATTGTATTCAAAAAGTCACATTCAATTTATAAAGGTAATAAATTCATTTAGTTTTGGATTATTATTATTATTATTTTCTTTATTTCTGTTGATATTTACGATACACCCGAAAAATTGTTGTTGTTTTTTTCTTTTTTCAATGAATGGTTTATTAATCTTAATAATATTATTAATAGTATTTATTAATAATATTATTAATGGTATTATTAATAATATTACTATATTATAATTAATACTATATTATTAAATAATAATAGTATTAATAATATTATTAATTAGTTATTAATTTAATAGTATTAAATAGTTATTTATTTTATACTAGCAATACTATATAGTAATAATAGTATAATAGTATAAATATAGTAATAGTAATAATGTGATATTAATCAATTTCTAAATTAATTAATATTAATAATATAATTTTATATTAATTTAATTTTATTATTATAAAACTATTATTTTTAATGAATAATATTTATTATTATTATTATTTTTTTTTTAATATAGCTTTATTTAATGTCGCATCAACCATAGGAGGATTATTAGCGACAGAATAATATTACTTATACTCTCAAGTACTTTTTCTACATTCTCAAACAAAATATTTGTGAAATAGTAGAACAGTAGATCCTTTCATTTTTCAAATTCCTTTTCCAGCTGTCGTGTGGTGTAACCCTTTTTCTCTTTCGTTAAGGGTCGTTAAATGATTATTACTATTATAAATTTTTATTACTTTTTTCTTTCTTTTTGTTCTGTTCTGTTCTGTCCTGTTTTGTCCTGTTCTGTTCTGTCGGGTCCTGTCCTATTGTCTTCTCTTCTGTTCCGTTCTGTTCTGTTCTGTTTCTAACATGAAATGGTAAAAAAAAGAACAAACGGAACATTACTAAATGAAAAAATAAAGAAACAGATTCAGTTGGAGCCCTTAAAGTTTGAAATTAACATCAACGCGATCGAACAAAGCAAAGTCAGTTTGTATAAGTTCGTATATACATTTGGTTAAGCTCGTAAACTGAATGAATTCCGATTGGATGTGAGATATGTTCTCTTGGTCGGATATTATAATCGGTAAAGGGCTGCAGTAAAAAAAAAAAAAAAATATATAACAAATCTAAATGAGAGAATTAGAGAATGAGAGAGTGAGAGAATGAAAGAATTGTTTTGTAAGACCACCGATATCAATTTCATCATATCTTAGGATTATTAGATAAATAAATTGACAGATATGTGTGTGTGTGTGTATGGTTTTGATAATTATTGTCAATAATAAATATTTACACAATTTTTCTTTTTTTTTAATTCCATTATATGTTATTATATATTAACAGTATATATATATATATATATATATATAACTGTTAAATGAAATTGTACAAAATTAAAATAGGATTTATCTTGAATATTTGAATTTGAATTATTTTGAAAATATTATTTAAATTGTAATTATGTTTAATTCAATATTTTCTTTGTACCTAACATAAACATTGTTTTTTTTTTTTTTTTAAATAATTACAACTTTAAAATGAAATATATATATATATATATATATATATATTAATTAAAATTATGATGATCGTACCTTGTCCTACATGAAAATATTTAAATAATTTTTATTATTTTATTTTAAATCAATAATTATAATATAAAATATATATAATTAATTTTTTTATATTTAAAAAGTATAAATTTTTTATTAAAATTATTATATTATTAAATTTTAATATTTAAAAATATTAAATTTTTTATAAAAATTATTATATTATTATATATCAATATTTAAAAATATAAAATAATATTTATATTTTTAAATTAAAAAAAAAAAACACACAATTGTTACAAAAATAATTCTATTTGTTTATTATAAATATCATTATAAAATTAATTTAATTTTTATTTCGTTGCATTTTTGTATTGTTGCAAATTAATGGGCTTAACAAAACAATAAATAAAAAGGAAGAAAAAATTAATTAAAAAAAAACAATAAAAAATATAAAAGAATAATAAAAAAAAAAAGAAATTCAATTAAATATATTTGTTTTTGATTTTGTTAGGTTTCTTTGGTCATTACCGCAAGGTGAATTGATGCGTGGTAACGAGAGCGTATTAATGGCACGAGCAGTCGTAGCATTTCATCGTGGTTCCTATCATGAACTCTACATGATCTTAGAAAGTCATCCATTTTCACCGAGACGTCATCCAGAATTACAACAAATGTGGTACAAATCGCATTACTGCGAAGCCGAAAAGATTCGTGGTCGTCCATTGGGTGCAGTTGACAAGTATAGATTAAGAAGGAAATATCCATTACCAAAGACCATCTGGGACGGTGAAGAGACTGTTTATTGTTTCAAGGAACGTGCTAGAACAGCCTTGAAAGAATGTTATACAAGAAACAGGTATCCTACACCAGACGACAAGAAAAATTTAGCAAAGAAGACTGGATTAACATTAACCCAAGTTTCTAATTGGTTTAAAAACCGAAGACAAAGGGATCGCACGCCACAGCAGACAAGATCGTAAGTTTTGTATCCTTTATTTTTTTCTTATTTCATTTGAATCATTTTTGTTTTTTTTTTGTATTTTAACCTTTAAAGTGCATATGGGGTGTTTGACACCCCCAACGTGTTTGAACGCATCTCCTGAAGCCGCTATTTTAATATTTAGTCCTCGCAATTTTTTTTTAAATAGTTTGATACATCTTGTTTCAAAATAGAATAAGTTTTATAGCCATCTGAATTAACACTAGATGGCATTAGACAAATAAAACCTATTTTTTTCGAATTCAGTATCGTTTTCGAGAGATCACAAATTTGTTGGGGTGTCGAACACCCCATGTGCACTTTAAGGATTAAATTGTGCATATATATGCATGGGGTATGTTTAGACGTATGTGTAGATACGTGTGAGTTTGAAAAATGTTGGATTGTCTGAAAAGTTCCTGGCCAATTTTCAAGTAGGTGACATCAAGTTTTTTGTTTTACTGGAAAATCTCAGAAGAGTTTTGGAAGGTTGACATTTTCAAAGTTACCCTCATAAAAATAGGAAAATATTGTGAAACAAAAATGGCACATTTATGTTGAATTTAATTAATACAACAAAAACTGAAATGTGCGTGTGCGTGTGCGTATGTGTGTTTTGTTTGAATCTTTCATTAATATCGACAAGAACTTTTTGGACAACCATAAACTTGGACTAATTTTTTATTTTTTTTTGTTTTTGAGGTACTGGGGGAAAAAGTAGTCATTTGAATATTCTAGCTATCCAAAAAAGAACCTTTTTTTTCGAACTTTCTTAGAAAAACTAAAAAATTCGTTCAAATCTATAAAAAAAAAAAAAAAAACCGTTTTAAAAACACATGTTTTTGAAAGATTTCGTAACTTCAGGGGGTCCGCGGTGACTTCTTTTCCTGAGATGATCAACAAGTGTTTAGAATATGTTTTTTACTTCATCCTTCTTTTGTTTTGCATATTTTTTCTTCTTCTTCACGATGTCTTAAAAATTCCAGAAAAAAAAAAAAAGAAAAAATGAAAAGAATTTAAATATCATCTTTAGATAGAAATGATTCTCTCATCGATTAGTAATCAAATGAATCAGGGATTCCTTAAAAAAACAAATCCCTTTCCCCCCCTCCCCTTCCCCCCCCCGAAAAAAAAATAAAACGAAAAATGATCAAAACAGTTGGGGGGCCGGTAGGGACACGTCGCCGCATCTTTTTCGTCTACACAAACAATACAATATTAATTTTATTATTTTTTTGTTTTGTTTTCAATTAACCCTTTGGGGCACAGTGGGATCAAAAGTTTCTCATCTTTTTGATACATCGTAATGCACATGGTGAGGGACAGTTTTAGTCCTACCTCGAAATAATATTGCAATAGTTACACTCACATAACATAAAAAAACTTTCTAAAAACTTTCTAAAATATTTCTTTGAAAAAAAAAAAAACAAGGTTTTTGAACCTTTTCAAAAAGGTTTCTAAAAAAAAACCTCTCTCTACAAATTTGAATAAATTGAATAAATTCGATAAGAAATTCTGACAAAATGATTTTAATGTGATAAGAGAATTTGTTTATCTTTATCAATTAGAAATGAATTATGATGAACTTAAGATGAATTTAAATAAACAAACGTGTGAGGTATAATCTTGATGATTAAAATTATACAATCGATTAATTTATAAAACTAAATGTTTTTATAAACACACGTTTATAAATAATAATCAAATAAATCATAATGAAATATTCGATATTTTTCGTTTAATATTCCAAATATAAATATAAATGTGTGTGTGTTTGTATGGAAATATATCAATGCCTCGTTAACAGACTTACACTAAAACATATACACATACATCCACACACACACTCGTACGTTTCTAATCACATGGATGATACAGTAATTAAATGCTTAGGCTAATTCAGCATCGTACGTACCACCGTTCGGTGAACTTTGCTGACACACATGATATTCATCCAGTGTTATTTCAAACGGACACACGGTATCAATTTCAATCGTCATATTAAAAAAAAAATATATATATATATATAAATAATAAGAAACACGATTGTATCTTGAGTATATATATATATTGAATTTAATAGTATCGACCTAGTAACATGAATTAATTGATTATCATTCATTTCATATTTTCTAAGATGTTTATTGCATCATTGATGACTCGAATTTTTCCAAACTCAATACTTTGATTTTAATTTTTTTTTTTTAGAGTTCTCGTTAAAAGGAAAATATTAGAATTGTTATTTATTTGAATTAGTATTTCTATTAATTAATTTATAATAATTAAATAATATTTTAATGAAAGTATCAATGAATTCTGATGTAACACCTATCATTAATATTTTATTAATTTCTTTAGAGTTCTCGTTAAAAGGAAAATATTAGAATTGTTATTTATTTGAATTAGTATTTCTATTAATTAATTTATAATAATTAAATAATATTTTAATGAAAGTATCAATGAATTCTGATGTAACACCTATCATTAATATTTTATTAATGACTTAACATTAATATAAAAATATTAATAATATTCTTGTCTAAAAAAAATGAATTAATAATTATTATATTATATTTAATAATAATAATAATAAAAAATTAAAAAAAATACTAATTTAATGATTTGCAGGATTTGAAATTGCATAACTAAGAAATGTATACGAACACTTTTATTTAACCCTTATCAATACGGCAAAAAATCAGTCCGATTGTGTTCCATTAAAAAAATCAGTTGATTTTCCCCTCCAAACGATTATTAGATAAAATAACTTCTTATGCCTAAAAGATTGAAGAACTTGGAGACACATAAATGTTCCCCATAACAGTACACCATCAACTATAGTGATTTCACGATTGAGTTTTGAATTGATTGACAAATTTATTCGACTGGAACAGAATATGGGGACCCAGCTGGTACGAAAGGGTTAAAAAAAATAAATATATATATATATATAAAAAAAATAAAAATTAATGTAATGTACACGTGTTAGTGTCACGTAAGGGATATTCTTTCATGGCAATGGCCGATATCACACTTCGCAGTGAGAATATATAATCAAAGGCGTACTTCGTTTAACGAATCACCGTGCGTAACAGGGCGCGTGCGTAACACACATCGGTTAGGTAGAGAGAATGCGTATAGGTATATATATATATATATATATATATGGTAGTATATTTATGTTTACACTCCTACGTAGAAGAGTGAAAGAAAGAGTTTTGTGTGTTATATATACACATACTTATATATATATATATATATATATACATACTACATAAAGAAAGAAACGAACTCTCCGTTGTTATGGCTACGACTTTAACCGCGGTCATGGGACCTACCTACCTACAACTGAAGACCTCACAGTTGAATGTTTCTTTTAAGTCCCCATGAAACTGATATACTTTTTAATTATGTGAATTTTTCATATTTTACAGAACATATATATATATAGGGTTTATTTCTGGGAATATACTATGGGAACATATTGGGAATAATTCCTGTTTTTTTTTTTTTTTTTTAGGTACAAATCACATACCAAAATTGGTTTGTGTTATAACACACACAATGAAAGATTATATTACGAATAAATATATTATAATATATATTATAATATTATTAATATTAAAATATCAAATAAATATATTAAATATTTTTAATTATAATATGCAACACTGATACTATTTACACATCCCTTATTATAAAATACAAATCCAAATCAACCCATTTACACAAATTATTATTATTTATATTCAAAAGAACAAAATTATTATTAATTCATAAACCTATCACACATTTATTTTTACAAATAAATAAAAATTTACAAAACTATATAATAATAATAATTAAAAAATAATTTATATATATATATATATATATATA